TAAGACGTTTAAACGCCGTTTTTTCCGTTTTGTTGTCTGCCTGGGTAGACAAATGGGTTTTACGGTTCTTTATACATGTGCACATGTTATGCGTGTCGTGTTATTGCACAAGTCGATGAAACAGATATATAGTGGAGGTTCGGATAGATCATGGAGTAGAACATTAATGCACTTTACCATAAATGTCGTCACCAATAGCACAAACTGATCGATTAGATGTTTATATCAAAAGGCGAGGCGCATGCACAGTTTAGAAATTATAGGAATTCCAGGAAATTCACGATATTTAAGTCATACACTGTTGGTGATTGTAGAAGTTTATATGGCCCTGAAATGAATCAATGAATGTGGAAATTTCGAGGAATTAAGGAAACATCCAATTCAATTTATTTTGGTAAGCAAAGGAATTCATTGAAAATCACATTGATGGATTTAATGCATGGAGATGAACAGACGGAACGGAAGAGTAATGATAGGAGCCAGAAGGTGTGTTGTGTGATTGGAATCAAGGAAAAGTACTGAACTTTGGAATTGGAGAGTGTGGGTGTGTAAGTATTCATTTCACACCCACATCTATACCACCAAAGACATTTAGGCGTCCCATGTCATAACGTCATTCGTGCTGTGTAAATGTGAACGATGCAATAAAATTAAAACAGGTGATATCTTGGTCAGAATGACAAATAACACACACCTTTTATCTAGCAACAAGACAACTTTGTTTCTTCTTCATTTTTCTCTATTCGAAGTAAGTACTACATTGATAATGATGTTTGGTAAAACGGCTTTTGCGCTTCTCTATTCGGTTGCAAGCCTTCCTCTAGTTGTCTGTCTCCTGTGTACAAACTGCAATGATATTGTACTATCATTTAACAATCCATCAGAATTACCATCAAGATGCGATGGACAGCTTGTTGAAACTGATGTTTGTCAAGCAGTGTTTCGTACGAATTATGTATCAAAAGAAATTCATATGAATCTTACAGGCGGATCCGATGAGATAGGAAATTATCGTCTAGAACTAGCAGCTCAAAATAAATTCGATGAACCAAAAATGAAGGATGTCAACATCACATACACTTGTCACAATTCATTTGACTGTGCAAAAATATATTATCTATTAACCATACAAACATTAATTCAAAATGAACCGATACTAGACAAAATCGAAGCCGAAATATTCGATCCGACGGTCGTCAATATTCAACAATGTTCTGATGATCAGGATCAACCCATAACTTGTCAAAATGGTTATGGATGTCATGGATATGAAATAATCGAGAATGGCCAGATTGACTTCGAAGGAGAATGTAGAAATGATAGTACGGTGACGATCTTTCCTCGTCAATATTTTCGTATCACACTTGTACAAGGTGATCCACCACTTTCATCTGACTGGAATCATTTTGGTTTTACTTGCAATAAACAAAATTTGTGTAATACCCGACAACAAATCAAGAAAATGGTGAAAATAGCCAATGATTTCTATCCATGGGAACTTATTCCACCAAATTCAAGCACAAACGTTTAATTACCTTCCTCTTGTCGTGATGTTAATCGTTTACATATTTCCAGTTGATTAGATATGGATTTTATCCATAACTGTGTCCAAAGGCTAACAAGTTTTTTTACACTCTGCTCAATGTTTTCTTCGTAAATTTTAATTTAAAAAAAACGTCGAGCATATATCCACACTATTCAATTCCAGTATTATTTACTGGTTTCTGCTTACATTTTGTATTTGCAACAGTTTTGTATTGAAAAGACGAAATCTCACTATTGGTCTAAGACTGAGTTCGTTTGTATCTGTCTTTCAATTCTTCCATTTTAACGTTTTCACATTGTTTTAAGACATACAATTGAAAATCAATTGTATTTGATTACTTTCACATAGAGGGTGTGGGTCTTCTTTTCATAATCACTCTCACACTCTTAGACATACACTCATACCCTCAAGTATTTGATGGTCTACCAGTTACTGATTGTAGTAAACTACTCTGGGATAAATATCGAAAAATTTTAACTTCTATACCATAGGATGTTGTTATTCGTATCGATATTGTACTTGGAGAGAATACAAAGAATGTTGCACCACAAATCACAACATCTGAAGAAAATCTCGGTGTAGTAGTTGCAGTTCTTCGTTCATATAATCGTGACAAGTCATTCTTACTTAATTAACTTTGTGATATTAAGTTGCCTAGTGGTAATTTAATACATACAGAAAGAATATCCATTACAACAGGAAGAAGTTAGGCAAAAACAATTTCCATAGACACTGCTGGCATGGATGCTGCTATACCAAAAGATCAACTTGGTGATAAAAAAGAGCTACTAAAGCTCTGCTAAGAGAAATAGCACTTTATTTATGTTCACATATTATCGTTGAAGTCAATCGTTTACGTGTTATAGATCAGTCATATAGTCGACAGGTGTTGACGCATTCTAAAAGTCCTAATTATAGCAAAAATTTTGTTATTATTCACAATTTAATGGATGTCGAAACAAAAATATGTCGGTGAAATAATTAAAAAAGAAGTTGAACATCTTTTTGAAGCTAAGCTTGACACAATACAACTGCAAATTAATCAAAACTCTACAAAAACATGAAGTTTTTTCGTTCCATACATAATGGAATGAAACTTTTTCATTTTATTATAGCAAAAGCTGGTTCCGATGCAGCAAAGTAATGGAATAGGCAATCCATTGATGACACAATGAAAATTTTACAAATAGCTACAGATTATAGACGAAATCATGATATGGTCCATGAAATGATAAGTTTTGTTAACACCAAACTTCCACAGTTATTCATCAGTAATCATAACCAGGGTGTAGGTGTGGGCGTGAGTGAGGAAGCGATGACCACACCCATACCACACACCGACACCCACGCCCACACCCACACCGACACCCACACCCACACCCACACCCACACCCACACCCACACCCACACCCACACCCACACCCTCCAATTGTTTTTCTTACGTTGATGATCAAAGAGAAGAAAACTATTT